GCTGTTTTTTGGGAGAACTCTTTTTTCCTCTGAGGTGTGTCATAACAATGCCTTTGTTTTAAATTCTCCTTTGGGGTTGGACTGCCAAGGGGTTGGTCCCTAAGGTAGGAGAAGGGAATAAAACCAGGAAGGTCTGAGGAAGAAATGGTGAAGGTGGGAGGAGAGGAAGAGTGTTTAGTTCAATGTTTCAGTTGTTTGAAGAGCATCCAGGTGTAAATGTTGAGCTAGAAGATGGGAGAATATCTCTGATGGTTTGAAGACAGGATGTGGCTAAATAAACATGAGGACAGTCAAATGTGTAAGAATAAGCGAGGTTACTGAAGGGCACAGTGCAGAGACTGAAGGAGGAGATCAAGGGAATAATCTTAGAGGCAGAGGAGTCCTTCGGGAAAGTGAAGGTGTTACAAACTGGGAAAGGAGGAATTGTGCAGGATAATTGTCCAGAGGGTTTGCTGTCTTTTTAGGTTGTTAAAAGCAGTGTCTACCTATGACTAGGAATAGGCACATACTCATATGACAGCAGACTCTGTATTAGGTGTGTAGTCCACAGAAAGGGGTATAGACAGGCTCAATCAGACAAACACAAGAATACTCATGGTAGTTTTTTCATAACTACATAATGTCATTATATACATGTAATTACATGTACGTAAATGTACGTGTAATTTCATGATGTACATCAATAGTAGAATAGATAATACATTGCAGCATAGTCACACAATTTTAATAGTCTATAGCAATTAACAATGAACTATTGGGTCATCGGGAAAGCCATAACACATTTTTGCATAGAAAATTATAGAAAAATACATGGGGATTTTCCTGACGACCCAATAATATACATGCAACAACATGGATTAATCGCACAGACATAAGACCGAGTGAAAAGTTGGAAAAAAGGATTCATAGAGATAGCAAAGATTGAAGAGAATTGATTTTATTTCCTCTGTTTAAGAGACATTTGGGATTTTGTTCCTCCCTTATAGTGCATCTTTGGCAAATCTATCTGACCAGCTGCTTTTGAGATGTTATTTTTTGGAGCTCTGTTAGAGTATACAAGTGACTTTTTTCATTTAGTTTGTAACTCTTGTTCCCTAACTCACTAGAGCATTGATGATGAAGAAATTCTCACTGAATCAGATTTGACTCTGCCTCTTTGGACTAGGTTTTTATGACCAGCACCAGCTCACAGAGGCCTAGTCATCCTTCCTGGTCATACATTGAGATTGTGTTCTTGATCTTTATTATTATTATTAGTTTGACATTCACATTTTACCCAAATCAGTCATTTTTGGTATAAGATTCCAATTAAATATGGAAGTGACAAATTTCCCAAGAAAGTGCTTGTTGTTATTGTATTTTAGAGTCAATTTCATGACTATGCTTGTCATCTATGCCCCAAGGAGTAGTGAGTGCTAACTGAGGAATCTGGTTTGATATGGTTTGATTATGAGTCATGTCTTTCAGAAATCAGCATAAAGTTTTCTCTCTTTCTCTCTCAACAGGAGATAGCAGGACTGCTGTATTTTTTTTTCTCTTGCTTCTAACAAGACAGACTTTATAGGGTTAATGAATGCCAGCTATCTTGTGACAAAGACTGAACCAGCCAAGTGCATTAATTAATTACACAAGATGAACAAATCAGCTTCTGAGGAGGGAGAAAAAACAAGATGCATGCTTC